ACCCCTCCTCGGGCCGCGTGGACAGGCTCAGGTCCTTCCACTCGGCCCAGAAGGTCTCCCGCCGCTCGTGGTCCTCCTCGGACACCTGACAGCTCAGCTCGGAAGCCGCCATTGCTGCTGGTGCTCTCAGGGCTCTGGCGGTTCCCCAGGCCCTTTAAATACCTCCCCTCCCCTCCCCTCCCCAGGGGCTATTTTCGGCCCCTCTGGCGTCAGATGCTATAAGCAGCTGGACACTCACTGATCTGGGGGGGCTCTGAGTCTCAGGTGGGGGTTGTGGTGCCTGGACTCGGGCTGCCCCCCAGGTCAGCAGCCAGCCTCTGGAGGCACCGAGGTGCTCTGGGGGACCTGGGGGACCTAAGGAGCACCCCCCAGGTGACCAACACCCCAAAGACACCCATCAGGGCAGGCACGTGCCCAGCCCCGTGCCACCATAGCCGAGCTCTGCCCCACCTAATCCCCTTGCCCAGAGGACGGCAGTGCCTGTCTGTAAACAGCAGGCGACAGCAGCCAACGCTGTCCCCGCACTGTGGCAGGGTGCTGTCTCCTCAGGTCAAGGGCACCCCCAACTCGGGCCACCCCTCAACCGGGTTTCCAGCCACCACTGCTGCAGCAGGGCAGGAGACGTGAATGCCACACCTGGGACCCCAGGCACAAACTTCTGCTGGGGGCTTTTCCTGCCCAGCCAGTGGTCAGGTGTGGGAGGGGCCTGCAGCTTTACCTCAGCACCCCATGCAGGGACAAATGGGGGGACAGGGACACAAGTGCTGGCCAGAGCCCCGCGTGAGCCTCGAGTGGCCATGACCAGGGCGGCACCTGCCCTCTCTAGGCCTCATTTGTGCCAGTTCCTGGGCATCAGGGGAGGGGTCCAGAGGGAGAGGTGCTGTGGGCACCAGCGTCCCGGCGAGAACCCTTGGCGTAGGCTGCTGGTGTGCATGGTGCTGGAGCGGGAGGAAGGAGGGCACCCGTGTGAACTGAGCAGAGTGGCAGCAGAGTTAAGAGCCACATGGGCAGCTGGGGACAGAACCTGGCTGGGCTACGGGGAACCTCACTGGAGTTAACCTCACGGGAACCCGTGATGCTGGTCCCATTTTAATTGTTTGCAGTACGGGAACTGAACCCACGGCCTTCACACTGGGCTGCATCCCCAACTCTTTTTATTTTGAGACAGGGTCTCACTAAATTGTTCAGACTTGGCTCAAAGCTTTGATCCTCCGAGTTACCGGATCACCGGGGTGCGCTGCCACACCGGGACACTTCGCTTTGTTTGTTACAAAGCAGGCAACGGAGGCTGAGTCGATCCTCGGTCATACAGGACCCGCCTGGCTGTGGGCAAACTGCCCCTTAGGGAGATGGCACGGTCCCAGAGGTGCCCCAGTGACTGAGGTGCCGCCTCTGGGCCGCCCAGCCGCCTGCCCCCGGCCCAGCCGTCAGTCTGCCAACTGAGCAGAAAGTGATGGCGCTGCTCTTGGTGTCTGGACGCTGCGGCTGCTCCTTTCCTGACAGGTGCTGCCCTCACTGTGTCAGACTGAGGCCCAGGCCGTGGTGGCAGGAGCCACAGGATGCTTCTTTCTTTTGAGTTCCTGTCTTTAGTTGGCTCCGTTACAAAGGTCCCCAGGAGACCCAGGGAGCGGCAGTCACTGTCCCATTCTGTACCCCAGCAGTGCACGTGGTCGAAGGCCCAAGACCCCGTGAGTAGCCAAGAAGACAGGAGGGACAGTGGCAGAGGCAGGACTGCTCCTCTCAGCCTGGCCTGTGCTCCCCCGGCCCTGCTCTGGCAAGGTGGGCACCACACTGCCCCCCTCTGGGCACAGGGAGCAGCACAGCTTCGGGATGGACCAAGGTCCCCCTCAGGGCCCAGAGGCTGTGGTGACCCTGACCTGCAGGGCGGTCACACCCGGGCCCCCAGCTCCGCGACATGCTGCCGCAGGTGGAAGGTGAACTCCAACATGGTGGCTGCCAGGCTCTGGTGGATGAGGTACCGGGGCAGGTGGCCCTGTGGGGGGCGGGAAGAGTCACCCGTCTGCCCTGGGGGGCAGGGCCCCCAGCCTCGAAGCTGGCACAGCGGGGTGTCCGGGGCCGGGACGCAGGTTCTGCCCTCTTCTCCCGCCCAGCCTCTCCCTTCAGGCCTGGCAGGAACACACTGTGCCTGGGCCTGGAACGAGGCGCACAGGGACGGTGGGAGGGGGGCAGCCACTGCCCAGGGCCTCGATCAGAGGTGAGAAGGCACCGGGGACCCCCACCCCGGCCCCCACCTTGAGGTCTGTGTTCAGGATCCAGACGAAGGTGCAGACGCTCGGGTTACTGGCCGACTTGAGCACGACGAAGCCCCCGGGCCCGTTCTCCCCCCTGAGGAGACGGGCGCCCCTGAGCAGGGGCCCAGCTGCTGAGCAGGACGCCCACGCCCCACCACACCTCCCGCCTGCCAGGCCCGGCCCGGCCCTCGCCTCCCTCGGCCTTTCAAGCTCTCCCACCCACTGAGCATCTGATGTCCTCTCCAGCGATAAGAAAGCTGGCACCCGGCAGGGACAGCTCGTCCTGGCGTCCAGCGAGTGGGTGGCAGGGCCCACATCCAGCCCCATCGCATTTTCGAGAACCGCTTGCAGCCACAGCGGAAGAACCAGAGAGAGGCTGGGCAGCGGGCGTGGGAAGTGAGGGGTCCCGGGGAGCCAGCGCCGTCACGGCTCGGCCGCCCTGTCCTGGTCCTGCCGACCCCGCCCCACCCCGCCAGCTCACCTGACGTATCTGTGGGTTGGGGGCTTGGCACAGTGTGTGGTGGCGATGCCAGAGGACAGGTACCGGTCTCTGCGCCTCTCGATGCGCCGGACATTCACGAAGTCCCTAGGGGAGGCCAGGTCAGCATGGGGAACAAACCTCAGGCCCCTGTGTGAGCTCACAAGAGCCCATGATGTGTGCAATAAAGAAATAATCAAAACAGTCACCGTGAGGAGCTCCTACAGCTCCCTCTGCCCTCCAGGGTGTTTTTTTTTTTTGTAATGAGCGGGGGTGGGGGGGATCGAACTCGGGTCCTTGATCTTACAAGGCAGGTGGCGGAACCACTGAGCTAAATCCCTGGCCCTCCAGGGTGTATTTCTGATGAATATTTGTATTTGGATTTTGATTTTTCCTCTCTTTTACTTAGCCCAAGTTCACTCTGTAGAGCCAGCTCCTTCCTTATTCCTTCAGTTTTAATTTTTCCTACCTCAAATAAACAAAATGTTGCTACCACTATTAAAAAAAAATGGGGGCAGAGACCAAGGTCTGGACTGAAAGATCCTGGTGTGGGGCACTCACCTCGGGGAGACCACACCACCCGCAGCCCCGGCCGACACATCGTAGGAGACCACGGTGCTGTCTTCTATCCGCTGCAGGACCTGTGGGCCACAGGGGTCCTCAGGTGCCGCCCTCCCTGCTGGGTCCCCAGGCGCAGGGTCACACATGGGCCCCGGGCTGGGCACTATGCACACGCTGCCCTCCAGTGGTGCTAAGGCCACAGCCCCGTTGCACAGACGGGGAAACTGAGGCACACGGCGGGCTCACCTGGCAGGCCGTCACCGTCTTGTTCCACAGCACCATCCGCTCGGGCTGCAGGATGACCTCCTGGTACACCAGCTCCGCCGGGCAGGGCAAGAAGGTCTGAGCGAGGCGGGCAGGGCTGGGTGGGCGCGGGCTCGGTGCCAGCCCTTCCCCACTGCTGTGAGCCTGCGGGGAGCCCCCTGAAACCCGGAAAGGACAGGAGGCCCGGACACCCCACTGACCTTCAGGATGAAGGTCTTGCCATGATAGGGGACCTCGACGGTGTACACGGCATCCCCGTATTCCTGCAGGGGGACGGAGGGAGGTGGGCACAGCGTGGGCTGGGGCATAGGCAGAAGACCCCAAGGGGCGGGGGGCCTTCGGGGGCCATCAGAGAGCGGGGTTGTGACTGGTGTAGCGAAGGGCAGAGGGAGTCTTTGATCCGCACCCCCAGGCCACTGTGGATCCCCAGGGGAGGGACCGGGCCGTGTTTCTGTGTCTCCCAAGCTCTCCAGTCTTTTTGGATAACGCTGCTTGGATCATGGAACAAAACAGCGGACACGGGGCCTAGAGCCCAGCGAGGCTGGCGGAGGAAAGCTGGGGGCTGTGGCTGACCTGGTGGTTCCCACAGTGGGGCCAGGCCAGGACCCAGCCCTCTCCCGGGTAGAACTGAGGCCACGAGCCCAGCCCTCCTGGGGTTTGTGTCTCGGGCCTCAGCACAAGGGGTAAAGAAGCCCGTGCGGGGTCGCGAAGGGCTCCTCACGTTCTTCTTCTCCAGCGTCCAGTCCTCCTCCTGGGCCAAGATCTGCTCCACCACGGCGGTGGCCTCCCTGCCCTGGCGGACGTACTCCCGCTCCTGCCGGGGCGAGGCAGGGACGATCGGGGG